TTTTTCCCCCCTGAATCATGAGTGCCACCATGACCACCCTGTCACTTCCGAATGCTTTCATTCCTACACACAAGGACATTCTGCCTACCACAGTACAACCATCACACCCAGGATATTAGCAGTGAAACACACTATCTAGTTCAGAGACCCCATTCAGGCTTCACCACTTGCCTCAATAACTCCTTTGTGGCAAAAAGATATGGTCGAGGATTACCCATCACATTTAGTTGTCGTGTCTCTTTAGTCTTTTTTGATCTTCCTCATTCTTTACTTGACTTTCATGACCTTGTAAGGGGATCTTAACCCTTGACTTGGTGTTGTCAGCACCAGGCTCAGCCAGTGAGCAAACTGGCCATCCCTATATGGGATCCGAACCTGTGACCTTGGTGTTATGAGCACCACACTCTCCCGAGTGAGCCACAGGCTGGCCCCTCTTTAGTCTTTTTTGATCTTCCTCATTCTTTACTTGACTTTCATGACCTTGACACTTTTNGTCTTATGTGCAGCAGGTGCTACAGTTGAAATTGGGGACAAGGTTTTGTTTTTTTTAAATAGAAAAACAGCTCCTGCCATTGAGGAATTTATCATCTAGTTGTCTATAGAGAGAGAGCTGAATGAGTGACAGTGGAAAATTGTGCAATCTTCTGGGTGGAGAAGTGCCCTCGAATTCGAGCTGTGGACATGGAAGTCTCACAGGAGGAAATCTGAGGCCTGCCCTAGAATGCCTTTCCCTCCTGGCATATTATATATGGCCAGGCGATGTTTTATAAATTGTTATTTATCACAGTATCTGTGAGGTCCCATTCTCAGACTTACCGAAAGGTGAAGAACTGAGGCGACACCTGCTCAGATGCACATCCTCGGCAGTGCCTCCCTGCCCTCCGTGAGGTTCCATTAATCTTGAGATTAATGAGGGCAGGGCTTACCCCACGTCTTCCTAAGGAAATAATCACACATTTGCAGAAATATTTAGCCACACATTATTTTTTAATGACTACATAGTTTTCCGTTATCCTGATATGCTGATTATTATANTTTGTGTCTTATGTGCAGCAGGTGCTACAGTTGAAATTGGGGACAAGGTTTTGTTTTTTTTTAATAGAAAAACAGCTCTTGCCATTGAGGAATTTATCATCTAGTTGTCTATAGAGAGAGAGCTGAATGAGTGACAGTGGGAAATTGTGCAATCTTCTGGGTGGAGAAGTGCCCTCGAATTTGAGCTGTGGACATGGAATTCTCGCAGGAGGAAATCTGAGGCCTGCCCTAGAATGCCTTTCCCTCCTGGCATATTATATATGGCCAGGTGATGTTTTATAAATTGTTATTTATCACAGTATCTGTGAGGTCCCATTCTCAGACTTACCGAAAGGTGAAGAACTGAGGCGACCCCTGCTCAGATGCACATCCTCGGCAGTGCCTCCCTGCCCTCCGTGAGGTTCCATGTCTTGAGATTAACGAGGGCAGGGCTTACCCCACGTCTTCCTGAGGAAATAATCACACATTTGCAGAAATATTTAGCCACACATTATTATTATTATTATTTTTTTTTTTTTTCAAAAAGATGACCAGTAAGGGGATCTTAACCCTTGACTTGGTGTTGNGACCTTGACACTTTTGAAGGCTTCAGGTCAGTTATTTTGTAGAATGTTCCTCAATTTAGGTTTGTATGATGTATCCTCACGATCAGCTGCAGGTTACTCATTTTTTGCAGAACTTTCACAGAACTGATGCTGTGTTCTCACTGCATCCTAAAAGGTATTGCAGGATTTCAATTTGTCCCACTACTGGGAAGGTTAAACTGATGGCTGGCAGATTTCTGCACCTTAAGTTTACTTTGTTTCCTCTTTGTAATTAATTAGTATTATGTAGGGAGAT